AGGAGGAAGGGGAGAGATAGGAGAGGCATGCGAGAAAGATAAGAAAGGGTGGAAAGTGAGAGGGGAAAAGAGGAAGAGGAAAATGACCAGAAAGGAGACAAAAGAGGCATAAAGAGAAAAGAGAGAAAAAGAGAAAGAAAAGAAGACAAAATGGGACTCAGGAAAAGGGAAGTGAGAGGAACGGGGAGAAAGGAGAGACATCCTGACACAATGGTGCCAGAAATCCAATGGAGCTTTTTTTTTTTTTTTTAATTTTCCATTTTAACATCTTTCTTGGTAAACTCAAAGAAGGTCACATTTAATTTCCATGGAAATAACCCGTCCTGAGTTGCAGCGACCTGAGTCAGGAGGTGTGATGGCAGCGATGTTGCATGTCTACTGGGCTGAACAGGGGGGTGGGGGTGGGAGACAGCCCAGAGGAGTATGTTGGTTTGCTTTGTATTCTCAGGTTGCCAGAGTGAGGGCACGAAAGCCAATCTTTAACTAGTGAATTGGAACTTTAATGTTTACCAAGCAGACACAGCTCCCACTCTCCCCGGCCCGCCTCCCCCTGCCAGCTCCCTCTTCGCTCGGCTTCCAGGCCTCCTGCTAACTGGACCCCGCCCTTCCCTCTCATCAGCCCTCGCGAGCAGCCCTTTCTGCTGCCAGCGGAGCTGAATGCTGGCCCCTGCTCGCCATGTCGCCTGGTTTTCTCTACTCAGAATCTCTTCCCCAGGGGCCCTACATTCCTAACTTTGGAAACAGATGGGCTCTTCATGGAAGATAATTCCCTGCAAGGCAGGGGTAGTTGGGACTAAGCAGCAGGGACCTATTTTAAGGAACAGAATTTTTCCAAGAGGACTCCTGTGTGCACTCGGACCCCAGGGAGCTCTCAGTCCCCTGCCCAGATCATGGCTCCTGACCTCTCATGCATGTCTTGTCTCTAGTCTGGTTCTCAGACCAATGCTCCCATCTGACATATCCTTCTTCCTCCCAACTCTCTATTCCCACTTTGCCTATATCCTGAACAAAACTTTTGAGAAACTCTTGCACTCCGTAGTCATCTGGGTCCTCTCTAAAGCAACGGGTGGCCCTAGAAAGGAGAGGTGGGTATCCTGGGTTTTGGTAGCAGACCTGGTACTGGTACTGGCTTGGTAGTTTATTAATTGTGTGACCTTGGGCAAATTGTTTAATCTCTCTAAACCTGGGTCTCCTTGTGAATGGAAGGTAATCATGACATCCTCATCATAGGGGTGGCTGTGAAGATAAAATGAGTTCATTGACATCATGCCTGTCAGATAGTAAGTGCCTAATAAATATTAAGCATTATTATTGAGCAATTGTCCACATGACCCATTTTGTAATAATGTGCTGTCTGGTATCACTGATACTGTGTGTGTGTGTGTGTGTGTGTGTGTGTGTGTGTGTGTGGTTCCTGTCTGCCACTTGATGGACAATTTCAAGAGGGGTGGGGGATGTGTTTTTCTTATCTCTGTGTCTGCTAGGACTCAGAGCACAGTGCTCAGCATATACTCAGGCAATACTCATTGGTGGATTGAGAAATTGCCCTATGATGACTATACACTATAAATAATGTAACAAGCATTATAAATAGAAGAGGGTCGTCTGGAGAAGGCCAGGGGTCCAGGAGAGAGAATGAGATTGGGAGTGTGAGGGAGAAATAAAGATGGAGAGTTTAGAAAAGTGGAATCACTCTGCCTAGATGCTGGCTGAAAACACTGATCAAAAGGACCCTGATGAGGCTTTGATGTTTAGTAATTTCGTTCTGCTGAAGTCATGCCAAACTCAAAAACAGTAATCCATTTGTGACACTGGTCTAGGGATGATGACTCCATCAGCCATCTGAGGGACTTTGGTTAGGCTGCTTCCCAGGGATACCGACCTCTGATTTGTAAGAACAGCCATTGTGGTCTGGTTTCTGAGCTTCCATACTTATCCCAAGAGAAATGTCAGCTCCCCATTCAGTCTCCAAATGAGGACACATGTGAGGTGTATAGCTCTAGTTTTGTCTTTGTTGTTTTGCTTGTGGTGCTGTGCATGCATGACCACAGTGAGGTTGTTTTCCTTGCTGCCAACAGGGTGCTGGGCTCTGTAACTTGCTGGGGGCAGAAACCGAATGGGCTGCCTGCACTATCTTCTCCCCTCTTTTTCTCCTTAGCAAGAAAGCAGAGGTCTGGTTTTAATGGATTGACTTTAATGGATTTTGAAGTTTGGAAAAGTGCCTAAATTGCTGAGGTTACCAGTTTTCCAGGTTCTTTTTTCAATTGCTTTCTCCTTAGTCAGACATAGAGTGCACTCACCGGGGCATCTAATGTGGTCACCCCTGACCAAAAGAGGTTTCTCTCTGCCCCCCACCCCCACCCCCAGTCAAACAGACAGCCATGAGCACAGCCTCAGTTGGTAGCGACACCCATTATTTGGTTGGATGAAAACCTTTTGCTTGGTCCTGTCCCTGCTTTGGCTAATGGCACACTTTCTCTGATCTCAAAGGAGAGAACCGACCAACAATAATAGCATCAGTTCTGTTTTCTGGAATCCAAAGGCCTCCACCTGAAAGTATAATTTTTTTTTTGGTCATTTTCTTTTTCATTTGTCTCCATGTGAATTTGTGCAGGGACAATGTGCCCTGGGAAGTCCGAGCTGCAATCCTGTCTTTTCTCTGTGTCCCTCCCCCTGTGGGCTGTGCCTGCCCTGAGAATTGTGATGAGGTCTTTGAGGCCATGAGTCTCCCTGTGAGGCCTTTGAAGAAAGGATGGCATTCCAGGCACCATACGGGGACTCTCGGCTGTGTTTTAGCTTCACTGTTGGGCTCTCTCCTCCCACCTCCCATCTCCCAACATACATTCATGTTTATTTTTGTCCTTTCTCCCAAACTTGCCCAACTCGTCTTTGTGATTTCAGAAAAATGCCACTGGATCTCCCAGTATGAAGGATTAGCACAGATTATGGGGAACAGTGTTAATTATCGGTGGAAGGGGGGCTGGCGCCTTGCTCCAATGTGCTCTGATTTCCCCTGGGCCTTTCTGCCTGGTAATAAGCCTTCTTTAATCTGGCAGGCCCCTTGGTGAAATCAGCACCACGGACAGTGGTATTGATTGCTTCTGAGAAACCATCACAGCTGCTCAACCAAATTACCTTTGATATGTGACCTTTAATGTAATTACTGCAACATCAAAGTATTTCTATAAATTATTAAAGAACTAATACACTCCATCATTTAGCTATTCTATTATATGTAAAATAAACAACTACAAGTTAATGTTAAATCGCAAACAATCCACACTTGCAACTGAAATTCACCCAGTCCTGCGCCTCTCCCACTTTAAAATCCTAAGTGCCCCTCCCCGCCCCCGCCCCCTTCACCTTCCCTTTCTGTTCCCCCATCTAATTCCCGGCTTTTAGCCATCACAAAACTCCCTAGCAATCTCTCTCAAGCTGATGAAGGGCCTCCCATAACAATGTGGTATTTTCTATTCGATTTGGGTGGCTCTAAAATATCTATCAAAATCTCCCCCAAAAAACAAAGTACCATAAACACTTTATTAATCTGCACAAACCTTTCTCAGAAGCCTTTGATTATCTTACAATATGGCTTTATGCTTCACACATAACATGGGGCGACGTGGAGCATATTTCTGTCATCTTACTGAGGGCACCCAGAAAGTAATTACTATAATATATGTGCGTGTAGCCGCGCCACTAAAAACCAACTGGGGAATGGCCACCGTGCCAGAGCTGGGCTCCACACAAAAACCGGTGGGTGCACGATTTCCATGCATTTGCATCCGCTAGTATGTTATTAAGATGACTCAGCCCCGTGCTTTGCAATCACAAATAACCAAAATACAATACAAAGGCTGTCTTAATGGAAGGAAGGCCCTCCCCACCCCTAAACGGGTAAAGAAGGATCTTTGATGCACAGAAAAGACTGCCCCCGCCGGGGTTGCTTTTCTCTGTCTACCTGGTTAACCTTTCCCGCTGTGGGGCAGAAATGGAAACGTGTGTTTACATACGGTTTGCTTGGTAAGAATGTAAACATGCATGTGCAAACATTGGTGGAACATATACATATGGAACACACGTGCTTCCCTGCAGTGTCCATTGTATAACACAGCTTCAACACAGTATATTTATAAATTCTTTAAGTTATGCCCACAAACACTTATATCTTTCCATTTATCTTTAGATACTCCGTGAGCTGTATATCTCAGCTCTCCCCGCCCCAATCTCTGTGAACCCACAGGAGACACCGCGCAGACCCTTCTTGACCCGAGGAACACTTCTTATTTTATGGTGATGAACTCGCCTCGATAATAGCCATGGCTGATATCACACCCAGTTAGGGGGGCCATAAATAATTCTCTTCTCCCCCGCACAGAAGCTATAAACCAGGGCTGAGGCGCGATAGTTTATCAAAGACGAGGGCTGGCTCCTTAAATAAACCGGGGTGATCTCACTCGCGGCGCCGAGAGGGGATGGGGAGGTGCCCCCTCCCGCCCGGTCCCCCACCCTAGGAATAGCCCGTGTTCGACGTCGAACCGCTGGTGCTCGGCCGGCTCCGCCACCGGCGGCCCCGCGGGGCCGGCGGAGGCAACTCCAGGATCCGGGGGCCTATGGCGCCCCGCGTCCTTGCTCAGGCTGCCAGCACCGGCAGTGCGCGGGGGGAGGGGGGGGGGAAGACCCGCTCGGCAAGGGAGGAGCCCCGCTGGAGCTTTGTGGCCGTGGCCAAGTTCGCCCCTCGCCTGGGATTTCGTTGGGCCTGGACGGCGGAGTGCGGGGGGCCTCCTGGCGAGGTCTGAGCTCCGCGCCTACCGGCCCCCGCCGCCGCCGCCCGGCGCCTTGCTGCTTTGGGGGCGCGAGGGGCTGTGCGAGCTCCAGAGCGAAGGCAGGCAGCGCGCGCCCCGGCTCGTGCCCCCCCGCCGGCCGCATCGCCGCCCGGCCTCCCGAAGTCGCCCCCTGTCGGCGCGTCTGTCGCTTGCGCCTCGGCGGGCGCCACTTACCCCGGGCAGCGTCTTCTGCTCGTGCAGCGCGCTCTGGGCCTTCAGCGCTGACTCACGCTCGCAGTAGGTGAGGAAAGCGCAGCCTAGGGAAGGAAGCAAGTGCCGAGAGGGTCAGTGGGGCGCCCCCGGGCCGCCGACGCGCCCTCCCGCCGCCTCCAGTCACCAGCCCCTTCCTGCTCTTGGTCCCTCTCCCCACCTCTCTTTCTCTCCTGGACACACTACTCGAGTCTTCCTGCCTCTCCGTTTTCCTCTGTCTGCTTCTCGTCCTTCGCGTTGCTGTTCTGTTTTGCTCCCTCGGCGAAGTCTCCCCACCCTGCATCTTCCCCCCTCCACGCCCCCTCTCCCCGCGGGTCTCTTCCTGTCCCCGTGCCCCGTGCCTCAGGTGCCTCTGCCCTCTCCCTTCCAACCTCTCTCCCTCCCTTCCTCCCTTCCTCCCTCCTTCCGGGTGCTGTTTTGCCTGTTTCAGCTCCAGCCCCAATACCTCCCTTAAGGGGCATTTCCACCCCTAACCCCCAGCACCTCTAGTCATGCTTGACTATGAACTCTTGTTCTGGCCCCTTTAAGAGTGCCGCCGGATGCTTCATTAGGGATGATGGAGGGACTCTGGGCTTTCCAAATAAAGGCTCCATCTGTAAAGAGGACCCCAGGCCAGGCTGTCCTAATAAAATGAATGGGGCTGCCCATGTATCCCCTGCCCCAACCCAGTGCCACATTTGCAGTGATATTTTCACACCCCTCCCAGTCAGAGGGCTCCTTGGGCATATCCAGCCCACCAATGTGCAAGGCTGGATCAGAGGCCAACTCTTGACCTTTCATCTTGGGTGACCCTGCCCCTTGCAAATCACATCTCCTGCCATGCGTCAGTCTTCTCATGTGTGTGAACTGAGAGAGTTGACCAAGTGGTCTCCAAAGTTCAGTCCGGTTTTCCCCTTGAGATTCTGACACTGCCTCACCAGGGAATCTGGATTTCACAGAGCACTGTGCCTAACTCGAAGAGTGACTTTTTTATCACGAGCCTTTCAGGAACAGTGACAAGGCAAAGAGCATACTTGCTGATTGGAGTCTTTCTGGGAGTTCCCTCAAACTGTCCAGTGTCAGGGGCCTCTTCTTCTGCCTGCAAACATGACTGAGTGTGACTTGGGAGGCCTGCAAGGCCCAGGACCATAGGCAAAGTCCAAAAGCCAACTTTGGCCAACAGCAGGCTTGAGTCTTGTGGGGCACAGTGGCTTCAGACTTTCCAAAACCACTCATGGCCCTGGAGAAGCCGCTCTGAAGGCTGGCCACTTCCCTTGTTTCAATTTTCATTCCCTCCCTTGTTTCATTCTCTCTCCCATTATCTTATCTGACCTCCCAACCACTTGTATCCATCACCATCCCCCTTTCTTTTGCCCTCACTTAGTATGCCTCTCTCCCCATTTTTACCTCTCTTAGTCCTATCCATCTTTCAAGAATCTGATCAAGGTCCACCTCCTCCAGGCAGCCCTCCTTGACTTGTCTAGTCCATCTCAAGCCATCCTCGTTTCTTGACTGTCCACAGCTGGCTATTTGGTCATTCTTACGGCCACTTATCAACTGTTTCCTGAGTGTGCACTGTGTGTCAGGTTCTGTGCCAGGTCTGGTGGCATGGGCCAGGCCCTCTTTTCATGAGGCCTGTAGGCTGGTGGTGCCAGTCTGGTGCCAACACCAGCCCTTGTCACCAGGCTTGCTCTGGCCTCTTATTTCTCCAGTGTCCTCTGCAGTTCCTGACTCCTCCACCCTCCTCCTCTTCCATTGTAGAAATGAGTCCCGCCTCCCTTCCTCCGCTAGCTTCAGAGAGGATATTGGAAGGGAATCTTATGTGTGAGGGGGACACAGAAACGGAAGGAAGGAAGCAGGGAGAGAAAGCTGGGAGACAGAAACTCTCAGCTCCCTGTGGGCTCCCTGCCCTCCTTACCTCCAACTCCCGCTCACGGCTGGGAGGAGCGGTGAGTGCCAAGGAGTCTCTCTCCTACTCCATCTCATCCTTCCCCATCCAGACCCCGGATCACCCCTCCTCCTCCCCCTTGCCGCTCCTCCCTTCTGGTCAGAGCAGACGGTTATTGATGGAGACACATGGGGGACTAAAATGAATAGCGGTCAGAGGCCCCCGTGACGTCGTCCCTCGTGCTGCTGCCTCCCTCTCTGGGGGCCTTGTTCCTCTTGTCCCCTCGCTGGCCTTGTCCTCCGCCTGTGCCCGCCTGCAACTGGGAGGCAGCCACTGTCTAGCTGCACGCAGGCAAGCCAGCTCGGGACAAGGTCAGGGGCAGGTTTGGAGAGGGAGGAGGAGGGAGGAGAAGGAACAAGAGAAAGAGGAAAGAGAGGGAAGAGGAGGCAGAGGAGGAGAGAGGGAGGAGGTGGGAGGGAAAACGACCATATTATTTCCACGCCCAGGATAACAAGGAAAGGATTCCAGAAAGAAAAAAAAAAAGAATCTGTTGCTTTTGTCCAGCTTCCAGAAATTTCTGCCACAGTTTTTGAGAGACCTCACAGCTACATTTTGAGCCAAAGTCTTTAAGGGACCCCCAGAACCTGTGTAACCTCCCCTGACATCTCTACCCCTTGATCTCACCTCATTCCATTTTTCCCCTTGTTCACCCCCCTGGCCTTCTTCCTGTTTCTTGGCCCCACCAGGTACACTCTGTCTCAGGGCCTTTGCACTGGTTGCGCCCTCATCCCAGAATGACCCCCGCCCCTTTATCTACATGGCTCCTTCATTCCCCTCATGTTTCTGCTCGAATGTGACCTCCTCAGACGTGCCTCTACTGACTGCCTCATTTAACATACTCATCCACCCCCCAATACACGCACACTCTCTGACCCCTTGTCCTGTTTACTCTTTTTTTAGCACCCCTCGTCTCCGACATATTAATATTGTGTATTTGTTCCTTGATTGGCAGTCTCCCCATGCTCAGATGAGGTTCTGTACCTAGTTAGTCCTCAGTGCCCAGAACAGGGACAGGAGTTTATTACATATTTGTCAAGAGCATTGAATCCCAAACACCTCGGATATTTTGGAGGGGGCCAATAGGTGAGGAGAACATGGAAGTGCTGCCCTGAGGCTGCTGGGAGCTGTCCAAGGCCCCGAGGACACTGAGGTACACGGGCTTCCACAGTGGTAGGGGACAGAGGTTGCCCACGAGAGTTGGTAGGCAGCCCAGGCAGGCTGGGAGGGCACTTGTCACCAAGGCTTCCTCCAGCCCATTCTCCCAGTGCCTGCCAGTGCAGTTACTGTCACGCCCCAGCTCTCAGCCAGAGGCGATCGTCCCCTGAACAGGCTGATGTGCCGTTCCAAACAGGAAGCTGGGACCAGGGGTCACTTACTGATTCCTTTCTCTGAACCCCAGTTTCCTCATCTATAAATGGGGTCAGTCATTCCCCTCAGTGGCTTGTGGGGAGATCTAATAGCCAATGAGTATTAACAACCTCCGCAGAGCTCTCTAATTGCAGAGTACGGCGTTAAGCACAAATTCACTCTTGTGAAGAGAGAGGTCAGCGAGGCGGAGGCCCGTCTGTTCCTCTGCCAGGAGAGGCCAGCCTTACAAAGAGGCTACCTGGGCTACACCCTCTGGGCCTTCTCAAACCATCTCTTCAGCTCGCCTGATGCTGTGTCTGACAGTCTACCCGAGAGATGAGTTGTCTCACTAGGGCTCTTTAAAAAGGCAGATACGGATAAGCAGTTATTAACCGCTGACTCCGGCGTGCATGAATGGACCACATCTGCTCCTTTGCGGAGGGCAGAGCTGTGGGGGAAGGGCAGCTTGGTGGGGAAGGGATGGCTTCAGGAGGACAGTCTCCCATCACAAGGTGTTGCAGAGCATGGGGTGAAGGCCAAGGTGAGGGCTCAGGGTGGCCAGGGGGTACCCAAGCCTCACCCATTGGACACTCACTGGCCTCTCAGGTAGGGACAGTGGGTGGTGCACAGAGAACCCCCACCCTGAAAAGCTAGCTTTAACTTTCCTGTCACTCATTGCTGCTCCTGAGCTGAGGAGGGGGCTGAGGAGGGGGCTCTGAGCTGTGAGGGTGGTGCAGGGGGCCACAGCTCAGCAGTCACTAAATCTGTCAAGCTCACTCTCCTGGTGATGTGCTGAGATGTCCCCAGAGACATACCCAGTGAGGCCCCTTGGGAACTCCCAGTCTAGCTGGGGAACGGGATTCTCTCAGGGAGCAGCTGCGTACCCATACGAGACACTACGGAAGAGAAGGCTAGCGCCAGGCTCTGAACCTGGAGGTCTGAGGAGGTCTGACAAGGAAGCACCCTTTCTGGGGACTGCCCTGGTGACACAGAATTCTCTCCCTTCCTTCAGGCCCAGCAGTTCCCTTCCCTGGGCTAACCCTACAAATACACCCGTACTTACACCCACAGAGGAGCGAGCAAGGGTCCACTGTGGTTGTTTGGAATTACAAAAATGAAAACCATCTAAAGGTCCCTCAGTGCAGGGATATCTTTCTATTTCAGCTGTGGGATACTCTACAGCAGTTTAAAAGATGAAATGGTCTTTTATGTACCAACATGGAAAGACACATTGTCAGATGGGAAAAGCAGATTGTGAAATCACATATGACATGTATATATAATGGAGACATATTCCAATAGTTCCATATGCACTCAACTCTGTATTTGTACCATAGCACAAAATCTAGAAGGGTCATGCCGAGCTGAAACAGGGAGTGTGGGGGCTGGGGGGTGTCTCCCACGACTTTAACATTTCATGTTTTGTGATACACTTGGATGCAGAATGTATTTATCTATCACTTGCAAAATTAGCTTTAAAGATAAAAAAATCTTTGCTGAAAGAGGATGGAATGAAAGGGGGGAGGTGAAAATGAGTAAGCCAGACAGGATGCAGGACCTATAGCCTGCTCTGAAGAGACAAAGATCATTGGACATCAGCTTCCTGGCAAATTCTTCCTGAGGGAAATTATCATGGGTGGGTCCTGCTATGTCCTTGCCTGAAAGCCTCCTCTGAGCTCTGGGAGCTGAAACAGGTTCTCTCTTCCCAGCAAGCTATAAATGGCATTCATTTTGGTCCTGTGGCCTGGAGTCACGGAATTTGACGTTTAGGGC